TAGGTAGGTACCTACCGACGAGAGGGGGAGTTGTCTTGTCTTTGATGAGAACTAGTGGGCCATCCAGTTGAAGAGAGTTTCCTTGGAACCACTTTGTCTTTTTCTGCAGCAAGGAGATGTACTCGTTGGAAAATCGTTTCCAAAAGTGTTGCTTGATGACCTCCACTCGACGATACCTCTGCAGCGTAGTCAGCTTGGCGCTCTCAGATTCCTGAGGGGAGGGAACGGCTGTGAGAGTTCGTCCAATGAGGAAGTGGGCAGGAGTTAGGGCTGCCATGTCCAGGGGATCCGTAGACATGGGAGATATAGGCCGGGAGTTTAGTATAGCTTTAATTTGAGTAAGGCAAGTGTACATTTCCTCATAAGTGAAATGAGTTTAATTAAGTATAGTTTTTAAATGGCGTTTTGTAGAGCGGACGGCTCCCTCAGCCAGTCCATTGAAATGTGGAGTACGGAGGTGTGAAATTAAACTTTACACCTTCATCGGCTAAGTTAGAAGCTATGTTTGATGATGATAAAAATGATGATAACTCGTTACTTGCTCCTACGAAGTTAGTTCCATTATCAGAGGTAATGGATTGTGCCTTGCCTCTACGCGAAATGAAGCGGCGCAAGGCAGCCAGGTACGCCTGTTTGCTCAACTCTGTAACAAGCTCCAGGTGTACTGCTTTCACTGCTGAGCATACGAAAATACACAGGTAAGCTTTGATCAATTTGCAACCGCGACCCTTCTTATCAGCTATGTGCACTGGCCAAGCATAATCGACAAAACAGTGTAAAAATGGGAACTCTAATGTAGTTCTTTGAACTGGAAGCTGTCCCATGATTGGCTGAACATTTTTACATTTCTGTCTAAAACATACAACACATTTATTGACAGTTTGCCTTGCGAGGTTCCTGCCTCCAAGAGGCCAATAAGTTTGGCGGATATTCGCAAGCAAACACAGTGGAGAAGCTTTAAGTGCTGTGTGCGGAATATGAGTCTAGTGATATGATGTTTACTGCACAACAAAATTGGGTGTTTGTGATCATAGGAGTAAGGAGAGTTGTCTAGTCTTCCTCCTACTCTTATGATATTATTGGAATCTAAGAAGGGTGACAGAGATAAGAGACGATTTTTAGTTGGCAGGGGTTTACCTGCTAGAAGAAGGGAATATTCTTCGGCAAACATTTTTGACTGGCAATGTTTTAAAATAGCTAACACCGAAGATTGAATTTCTTCGTGTGTAAAAGGACCAATAGTCTTATTTTGTTTATTTTTACAATTGTATTTAAATCTATTTATGTGCGCTACCGTGTGTAGCAGGCGCGTGTAATTATAATGTTTATGTATAAGTTGTGATAAAGGATCTGTGTCTGTTTTAAGAGTGTCAGATTGTGTAAGGCAACAGATTACTTCTGGCAGGTCTCGCTTCTGGCTGGGTTGAGAAGGCCACGTGTCTTCAGAATGTTGTAAATATTGTGGTCCTGACCACCACAGCACACAGGAGCTGATAAGATCAGCCTTCACCCCGCGAGAAACGAGGTCGGCGGGGTTGTCCAGAGACGGTACGTAACCCCACGAGCTCCCGGCTGTTAATTCGTTTATCTCATTTACCCTATTGCGAACAAATGGCTTTAGTCGCTGAGCGGGCATCTGTAACCAACTTAGAACGATAGTTGAATCGCACCAAAATTTGCATGTAACTTGTAATCTTAATGCTTGTAATACTTTGCAACACAGTCTAGCTCCTACCAAAGCCCCACAAAGCTCTAGGCGGGTTGTAGTTGTGGGTTTTATTGGCGCGACTCTATTTTTGGATGCTATGAGTCGAACCTGAAAACTGCCACCCGTGCCAATTGAACGTACATATAAACATGCTCCATAAGCCTGTTCAGAGGCGTCTGTAAAGATATGTAACTGGGCATGAGAATGATTACCTTGTAAAACCCACCGAGGTATTCGTATATTATTTAAATGGTGTAATTTACAGTAAAACGAATTCCAAAGTGCTTTAATATTATCTGGAACTTCAGTCCCAGTCTAATTTAGATTTCCAAACTGTTTGCATTATTATTTTTGCCTGGACTATAGTGGCGCCTACAAGGCCTAGTGGGTCAAAAATTTGACTGATTACAGATAGTATGTATCGTTTAGTAATTTCATCCTGAAAATTAATATTTATAGAAAACGACAGAATATCCGAATCACATATCCAATGTAAACCCAATGTTTTTGAAGGGCTGTTTTGATTATTTTCGTTTAAAGTTAGAACATTGCAAGAATTGGAGTTATGACCGATAGCTTTCAAAATATTGGGATTCCGGTCTAACAAGACCGGAATTTTCTTAAGTTGAACTTAGCTGATGACAGAACAGTAATAATGCTTTTAGTATGCTCTATAACCTCCTCCTCACTTGTGCCACCACTTAAATAATCATCTACATAGAAATCATGAGATAATCGCTCCTTTATTCTGACATCTGAGACGGTACTGGCAAGAGTAGACAGACACTTGGTCGCTAAATACGGAGCGGATACGGTGCCGTATGTTACGGTATTAAGAGTGTATGTTTTAATAGGTTGAGAGGGGTCTGAGCGAAACAGAATTTGTGTTAGAGGTCTTTGGATTGGATTTATCTCGATAGCACGATACATTTTCTCTATGTCTCCTGATATGACGAATTTAGGCTGACGAAATCGTATAAGAATAGACAATAAATCGTCTTGGACAGTAGGGCCAATCATTTGGATGTCATTTAGGGACAATCCTGAACTAGAGATGGCGGACGCGTCGAAAACAGTGCGTAACTTTGTGGTAGTACTAGAGTCTCGTAACACTCCATGGTGAGGTAAATAATAATTTATAACGTTTGAGGTTGATTTCAGTAAAGATTTATTTTCAGACATGTGACCTAATTCTTCATACTCACGAATAAAGTCGACATAGCGATCTTTGAATTCGGGATCTCTTTTGAATCTACGTTCTAGGGACAGGAATCTCAATTTAGCCATATAATACGAGTCAACTAATTCTTTAGGATCTCGTTTTAGAGGCATTGTTACTACGAAGCGGCCTTCTTCATTACGGTAAGTGTTGGCTAAAAAATGCTCTTCACAGGCGCGTTCTTCGTTGGTCATTGAATATTTGGATGCAATGGAATCTAATTCCCAAAACTGAGTGAGGTTAATATCTTGATTTAGGAAGTGACATAAGTGGTTATTGGTTTGGGGGGCACGTGGAACGTAGCCTGAAATTAACCAACCTAGTCGAGTTTCACATAGTTTGGGTTGATGTTTACTTAAGTTAATTGAATTATTGCAGATCACATTCCAGAATGTTTCTGCTCCTACTAGTATATCTATTGCCGCTGGTACATTAAAGTAAGGGTCAGCAAGCTGCATTCCAGTAGGTATAGGAATAAACTCAATGTTAATGAACTTTGAAGGCAATGATTTTGTTATTTGTGGCACCACAATGCAGTCTAGGTTCAACTCAAAGTCATTGTACTTGGATTTTACTCTGACATGACAAGACTGTGATGTTTTAGTATATTGATTACAAATACCCGTCACCGTTGAGCCGGAAGCGCGACTGGACAACCCCAGCTTCGTGCAGAGGTCTTGCGTTTTCAGGTTTGCAGTGCTCCCGTTGTCTAACAGGAGCCTGGCGTCGCGAGCTTGGCCGTTGAAGTCATATACTTGCACTAGCGCTGTGAACAGAAGTATATGGGATGACGTAGTAAGCTGACTGGTGTTTAAGGGAGTAGATAATGATACCTCACTCATATTGCATTGAGAAGTGTCAGTGTGTAACGTGACATCTTCCGCAGAGAGATGAGGGCTTATATTAGGTGTGGTCGCAGAGAGTTGGGGGCGGCTGTTCTACGGATTCGATCCAAGAATACTGCCCCCGGGCCGGACGGGGTTCCAGCCCGAGTGATGGCCCGAGCCCTCGACTACATGTCGGACCACCTCAGGGAAGTGTTGGACGCAAGCCTGGCGTCCGGACGCTTCCCTGAGCGCTGGAAGTGCGGGAAGCTGGTCCTGCTGAGGAAGCCGGGACGGCCTACCGATTCGGTCGCGGCCTATAGGCCTATCGTGTTGCTGGACGAGGCGGGTAAACTTTTCGAGAGGGTGCTCTCTGCCCGCATCGTCCGGCACCTCTGCGAGGTTGGCCCCGATCTGTCGGACGCCCAATTCGGTTTCCGAGAGGGGCGTTCGACGATCGATGCCGTAATGCGCCTTAGGGCCGTGACCAAGGAGGCCGTGAGCTGCGGCGGAGTGGTGTTGGCGGTGTCCTTGGACGGTGCGAATTAATTTAAATTTACAATCAATTTAATTTCTATTCTTAATTCCACAATCTAGATTTAAAATATTTTATTTAAAATAACAAACAAACATATTATTTAGCATGGTATTTACAATTATAATCTAAAACGTTCTATTAAAAAATGATAATATTAATAAAACATTCCATTTTGAAATCATATCATTAAAATTATATTTCAGTTTTAAATAAGTTTGAAATACATTTTATTTTCTATTTACATTTCATTTACACTCACCTATGGAATTTCGGTTTTTTGAGTAGCCCCACCGATCAGGAGGCCGCACTATCCTGCCGAAACGAGTACGATATGCATTAGAACAGTTATCATCAGCTGATTTTAAGACTAGTTCACCGGAGCCAACAGACGTGGATTGAGATGTGTCTAAGCTTATACGTCATATAAAAAACTGTATTCATTCTGTGGTGATAAGCAAGTGCGGTTCGAATCAGCAATCAAATGTCTTCTATTGCGTCTCAAACTAGTTCCGTTATTCAATAACACAACATATGATCGCATTCCAAACCTGTTTTTTACAATGCCCGATTGCCAAGTATTGTTTATTCTAACTTTTACTTTCTGTCCTACACATAAAGGTGTTAAGTTCTTTGATCCTCTATCATAATAATATTTTTGAATTTGTTGACGACTTTTAATCTTTTGTGCCGTGTTATTATGTAATGTTGGCTTTAATAATATAGGGTTGCACGGCACGATGCTACGTAGCTTTCTATTATATAGTAACTCTGCGGGTAATGGTAGTTCTTTGCTAGTGCATACGCAGTTTTTCTAATTATTTGTTTTATAGTTTGAATGGACCGCTCGACCTGACCATTGGACTGTGGGTATCTAGGCGATGACGTGACGTGACGAAATTTCCAGTTTCTTGCAAAATCAGAAAATGCTAAAGATGAGAACTCGGGGCCATTATCCGACATAACCGTCTCTGGAATACCTTCTACCGAATATTGTTTTTTTAATTTATTTATAACATTTTCAGAGGTCATTGAATTTAATTGTGCCAATTCAATGAATTTACTGTGATAATCCACCGCTATTAAATACGATTTGGAACCTAAATGAAAGATATCTATACCGACTTTGCACCACGGTCTATCAGGTATTTCATGCGGAATTAAGGGTTCTTTTATATTTTGTTTTCTATAGTTCAAGCATGCCTGACACTTCGATAAGTAATCTATTAATTGCGTGTTCATATTAGGCCAATACATAATTTGACGAGCTCGAAGCTTACATTTCTCAATACCTAAATGACTACTATGTATATTTTTTAACATTTAATAACGCATTGATTTAGGAATGACAACCCTACAGCCTCTCCATACTATGCCAAAATTTACAACTAACTCCTCCTTGCATTCCCAGAAGGGTTTTAATTTATTATCTAGAGTATTATGTATAAATATCGGCCGGGCTTATATACTAATGTAAACTTATACGGTTGTAATCTCATTAGCAATCTTTGTAGGCGCGCAGGTGCATTTGCTAAAGGCTTATTTATAATATTTACTAAAGGTTTATGATCGGTTTCTGTAGTTATTTCTGTTCGTCCGTAGATGTATGTATACAACCTTTCACAAGCAAAGACATAGGCATACAGCTCCTTTTCTATCTGTGCATATGACTGTTCGGTTTTAGTTAGTGCCTTTGATGCATAACATACAGGCAAATTACTTTGCAATAAACAAGCCCCCAGACCGTTTTTACTCGCATCCACGGATATTACAACCGGTTTCAGTGGATCATAAAATTGCAAGACCGGTGGATTCACAAGAAGACATTTTATTTCGTTAAAACATTGATTATGTTTGTTTTTCCAGTGCCATTCTATGTCTTTTTTAAGTAATTCTCTCAAAACACACGTTTTGTCTGATAAGTTGGGTACAAAATTACCAACGTACGTAACTAAACCCAGAAATCTCTCTACATCCTTTACGCAGGTAGGAGTGGGCATATTTTTTATTGCGTTTATATGCGAATCGTCAGGGCTTACGCCATCTTTGGAAATTTTGTGCCCCAAATATTTTATTTCGGTTAGACCAATTTTGCACTTCACTTCCCTTCGCGGCACCGTGCGACTAACGTGTGACTTCATGTGCTAACAATTTAAATATTGTTTTCTGTTTTTCTGCGACTAGTTTCCGGCTTGCGGGCGGCTAAAGGTTGTGTATAGTGTTTTAAAGAAAGTCAGTAAGTTTTTATTGTTTTTAAACTGTAATATAGTGCTGAATTATTTTATTGTGAATTTCTAACACCAACCGGGAAAAGGACATTTATCGAAATGTCACCTACGGATTTCTCGCCGAAAGACAGTAGCCGTAGGCGCGTTATTAATTCGGACTTAAGTGGAAATGTTTCGTCTCCTACCGGTCGTGATAACTGTGGGGAGTACAACTACTGTGACTTAGTATCACAGGCCACTGATTATTTAGCAAAAATTAATGAATTAGTTAATGATCAGGGATCTCGGATGAATGTAGGTAATAAAACGGCGATTATGGATATTACTCAACGAATTACCGGTATCGTATCTTTGTTAGCAATAAAATCCTCTAGCAACGAAACGAAGTTAGCGAATTTTGAGCGACAAATGGAGGGTATCGCCACTCAAAAAATGAGTTTAACGTACGCGGACAAACTTAAGCTTCGATTACCAATCTGCTCCGTGCCCGGTACCTACTGAAGCGCGCGTTCCTAGGCCTTGTGTTATTGCCTATCCCACTACGGAACGCTTAGCGGACTATGCGACCTCGTCAGCAACAAAACAAGCTCTCATGAAGGCTATTACACCGAGCGATGAGGGATTTCAAATTGTAGGCGTTAAAAAAACCTCTAAGGCAGGCGTCGTGTTACGTGTAGCTAACGAACGGCAGCTTAAGAAACTGGAATCTGTGGACGCCATTAAATCAGTAGGGTTGCGCTTAGAAAAACCGAAAGGCCGTAGGCCCCGTATAATTGTAAAAGACGTACCCGGTTCTATGGAAGATCGTGCCTTCCTAACAGCCTTATACCGTCAGAATATCAAGGACGAATTAAAATTAAGTGAGAACGATTTTATTAAGTCAACCAAAATTGTTAGGCATCGTAAACTAGAAAATGGGCGTCAATGGATAGGCTTAGAATTAAAGGCAGTAGTTCGGAAACATCTAGCCAACACAAAAGATAAACTTTATATAGACTGGGCCACATGTAGATTCATAGACGATATAGAAGTAGTTCTTTGCTTAAATTGTCAGCAATTCGGTCATGTACAAAAGTTTTGCACCATAAAAACCCCTACTTGTGCTAATTGCGCCGCCGCACACGAAACGCGAGCTTGTCCAGATAAAGACACCCCAGATTTTAAGCCCACGTGCGCACAGTGTAAGCGGTTCAAAAAACCATCTGACCATCGATGCGGCTCATACGACTGTGCCACATACAAATTAAAACTGGAACAGCTAATATTAAATACCAATTACTAATAGTTTAACTTAGTTTAAAAAAAAAAAAAAAAAAGTTAAAAGAGTAACTTACTAAGTAATGAATAATATTTCGATAGGCCAGTTAAATCTTCATAACGATAAAATAGCTACATCAGAATTAGACCGTTTAATTTTAGAACAAAAGTTAGACATTGTCCTTTTACAAGAACAATATCAGAGCGCTCACTTGCGTCGTAATGTAGTACAGCTTGACTGCCGTTCGCGGGCTGGGATATATGTTGCAAGTTCTAATTTTACGGTAACATCTTTGCGTAATCTTATGACGTCACACTGCGCCGTTGCTGAGATCTCATCCTCTACCTGTAAGGTTTACGTAGTAAGCTGCTATTTTCAATATTCACATCCTATTGATCCTCACTTACATCACTTACGTTACGTCTTGCAGTTCCTCGTGGGACATAAAATTATCATTGGCGCTGATGTCAATGCGTCATCTTCATTATGGTATGGCAAGTTGCGTTCAACCGACACGGTTTGACGTTGTGCGGTTGAAGATTTCATTGCGGAAATGAATCTTATTATTCACAATACCCCCGATGCACTACCAACTTTTTGCAACCCAATGGGTGAGTCTTCTATTGACGTGACGCTTACGCGCGGCGACGTCTCGATATCCGGATGGCGTGTCCTTCCGGACGCATCCTGTAGTGATCACCGCTTGATCGTGTACGAATTCATACCAAGGGTTGCACAGGATCCACAAAGGGCTCCCTATAATTTTAGATATAAAACTAAAGGTGCGAACTGGGCTTTGTTTGGTTCACTCTTTGCAACTCATACCAAAGACTTCAGTCGCAGTAGTTTATCAGCTGAGGAAAGCGCAGAAATACTATCAGAAAATTTTACATACTGCGCTGATGTAACTATTGGTCGCGGATCTATCACTAACACTCGTAGATGTGATTGGTGGAATCATAGATTAGCCGAACTACGCAGAAGCTACCGGAAAGCTCGTAGAAAATTAAACACTATTAAAAAACATAACGTAACAGGAGATTTGTACAACAATGCTCTCATTGCTCTTAGAGTTGCCAGGTCCCACTACAGAGCTGCTGTGGAAAAATCCAAGGGAAACTTAATTCAGAAACTTGTTGATAAACTCGATAGAGAGGGCCCGTGGTCACCTTTGTATCACGAATTTAAGGCAAATAGATCTGGTAACGCCACCTGTCCATAGAGACAGGAACTCTTTAAGTTTTAGTTTAAATTCCCGCTAGGTGAGGCTGTCGGCACCTATCAATCCTTTGATCATATATCAACATCCCGCACGCACGCCGCTAAAAGAAGACAGTTCGGTGACGTTCGAGACGCGAGACACACCGCACGTTATATTTTTCTTTCCGCTACCGCATCTCATATAAACTTTAAAAACCAAAAATATTGGTATAACAAGCGCCGCGTTCAAGTGTCTTCGGATCACGCTACCGCATTGTCCGCTGAGTGTTAAATCGTGCCTTGCCGGCAAGCTAGTGACTTTATACTGCGCAGCGCGCCGCCATTTTGGTCTGGACAGCAGCTCGACCAGCATCTCAAGACCATCAAGGTAGGCGTGCTTTCCCATATCCTTTTACCCACCTGTCCGGCAGCCGTAACGTACTCAGCATATCAGTTTCAGGCAGCGCTTAGTCGCTGAAGATATCTGCGCACCCGCTCATATGTATTAGCGCCAATAAATTCTATGGCCACCGCCAGTTGGCACTAACAAGATCAATCGACCTTGCATACATACAGAACATCAAAATTAATAACAGATATACCACAGGAGTAGAACAAACAGCAGAATATCTTTTAGACTCACTCGTACCTGACGATCGACCGGAAAACGACACTGGTCATCACCGACAGATCAGGCAGTGGGCCATCGAACCACCACTGTCTCCAATGTCTGATTTACCATCTTCAGACGAATTTCTCGGTATCATTAGATCCTTGCCGCTAAACAAGGCTTCGGGCGATGATAAAATATCTAACAAAATGATAAAAGAAGCTAGCAAACTTTCGGGTGACACGATTTTCACCGTCTTTAAACGTTGCATTGCTGAAGGAATATTTCCTCGTATATGGCGGTGCGGTAATATTCGTATAAACCAAAAAGTGGCGACAAGCCACCGGATGATCCTAAATCCTACCGACCAATCACATTATTACCATCGTTAGGAAAGCTTTTAGAACGTCTTGTAGTGCCCCGGCTTCTGCCAGGTGGAGTCAAATTTCATGATAGACAATTTGGATTTACGTTGGGTAAATCGACAACTGACGCTGTTATATCGGTTAGAAAGTTTTTCACAGAGTCAAAATTTCAATACGTGCTGGCTATTTTCTTAGATATATCTGGCGCCTTCGACAACGCATGGTGGCCCATGCTGTTGCTGAAATTAAAATCACGGGGGTGCTTTAAAAATATTTATTCCCTTATCTCTTCGTACTTTTCACAAGGTACAACTAAACTAAGACTTGGTCATCATTCTGTGTCGAAGGCGCTTACAATGGGATGTCCTCAGGGATCGGTGCTGGGTCCATACTTGTGGAACTTCGACGATTTTCTTGCGATACCAATACCATCCGGATGTACTCTGAACGCGTATGCTGATGACGGCTTATTACTGGTGGAATCTGATACTAGGGCGGGGCTTGAGAGATTAGTCAATAGATGTTTGAACTTGATATCTCAATGGGGTGAACGTAATCGCTTAACTTTTGCACCCAACAAAACCTTCCAGCTGCTTTTAAAAGGTAACCTCAAATCACCGCCGAGCATTAGATTTGACAATGTTACTGTAAAAAATAAAACCACAGTGTGTTATCTAGGATTAGTTTTAGAAAGAAACTTTTCATTTATCGAACATATTAAAATAGTTAATGAAAAGTCTAAAAAGAGTTTCTGTGCATTGACAAGGATATCAACTGCGACATGGGGTCTATCATTTAATACATTAAAGATCATATACGGAGCTACTTATTTAGGTTCTATGTGCTATGGTGCACCTGTATGGGCCGATAGGGCGACCGTAGGCGCTGTCCGTCGCAAACTGTTACAAGGCCTACGACTTGCACTGATATTCTTGTGTAAGGCATATAGGACGGTTAGCACTGAGGCTTTACCGGTGTTGGCGGGTGTGCTTCCGGTCGATCTCGAGGTGCAGAGACGTGCAGCCATGTACTATTCAAGACAACAAAACATGGAATGCGATTTTTTGGGCGCGCGGGATCGCGGTAAAATTACAAGATTGCTTCAACAGCAGCCCGATGTCTATAATGACCTCATAGACGAATGGCAACAACGCTGGGATGAATCATCCAAGGGGCGCCATCTTTACCAATTCTTTCCATCTGTTCGCGAACGGTTGTCGAGGATATGGCTTGAGGTGGATCACTGTGTCGCTCAATTTATTACGGGTCATGGTAACTTTAAGAGCAAGCTTTATTCATTTAAATTAGTCGAGTCACCATTGTGTCAATGCTCAACACCTAACTCTCACTATGAACAGTCTGCTCATCATATCCTCTGGGAATGTAGTCTTTGGTATAATGAACGTAATATAATGCTGAATAGCTTGCAGGTGACATCTGGGGCGGTATACTATGGGGATCTTGTGTCAACTAGGGTGAATTTCCGTGCGTTTAGGCGATTCTGCCATACATATTATAGAAATCAAACATAGCTCACGTAGGACCCGTAATATTTGTGGCCGTGGTGCTTCCCTGTTTAAAAGGGTGTATGCCCATTTTACTTCATTTTGTCTCCCGCTTTGCTAAGGAGGGAAGTGGATTTACTGTATTTCCAACTCCTCCAATTTTCTTCTGATTAATTTCGTTGCGGGTTCCAAGACAGTTTAATTTCTTCCTGGGTCTTCCCGAGTGTCATAACTCGGTGTGTTCGTTGGTCACTGCTGTGGATCCTGGTGTACAGGAGTTACAGTGGTGGGCTTGTGGGTGGGATTAGTCCCATAAAAAAGACCAATTTTGCATTTTTCTTTATTTAATTTAAATTAATGACCTCACATCTTTTAAGAACCGTACGTAATCGTTGATCGTGTATTTCTTTTGTGGGACCCATTATTAAAATATAGTCGACAAATAAAATTACACCCTCAATATCATCCAGATGGTCATACAAACGTTTATGAAATATTTCTGACGCGGACGAGATACCGTACGGCATTCGTAAAAATTTATATCTACCAAATGCAGTATTAAACGTACATAGATCGGTACTATCTTTATGAAATTTTACCTGCCAAAATCCCTGCTTTGCATCTAAAGTGCTAAAATATTTGGAGCCTGCTAGTTTGGTGACTATTTCCTCAAACGTAGGTAGTTTAAAATGCTCCCGCTTAATTGCACTGTTAAGATCCCTAGGGTCTAGACATATACGCAAACTCCCGTTAGGTTTTTTGACTACCGTCATACTATTAACCCAGTCAGTAGGTTTATCAACTTAAGCTATTATACCTTCTCTTACCATCTCTTCTAACTTAATTTTCACTTGGTCTCGAATTGCAACTGGTAGCTTTCTAGGAGCATGTACAACTGGCTCGACATTATTTTTTATTTGTATTTTGTACTCGCCAGGTAAACAGCCCATGCCCACAAAAACTTTAGGAAACTCGTTCAAAATGCTGTAACTAAACTGCTTATCTTGGCTAATTGACATTATTCTCTTGACCAATTGCAACTCCTCACATGCACTTCTACCCAGTATCGGGGATGAAGGCGTATCAACAACGATAAATTGCAAAAAGAAAACATTATTTTTATATTTCACTTTCAAATAACACTTGCCTATCACCGAAATAACGTCACCAGAGTACCCACTTAATTTAATTGATGTTTTCAATAAATCATTATCTGATAAATTAATTGTTTTGAGAAATTTACGAGGTAAAACATTTACGTCGGCTCCAGTGTCTAATTTTAAACTAATTATCGTACCATTTACAATTTCTATTGCTACTAGCCACTCATTACAATTACAAATATTTTTGTTTATTACCTGATCGGTGGAGTCCTCCAGTACGCAATGAACTCTGCACATCCTCGCAAAGTGGTTGATGCGGTTGCACTTCATGCACCTTTGACCCCGCGCCGGACACTCGTACCTTCTGTGCACTCGACCGCAGTACCCACATCTGTTTGCATGCTGATATCGCTGTACTGTTTGTTTAGGCGTATGAGTTGAGTGGTTCACCGTGTCTTGTCTCGGCGGATGGTCATAACGAGAACGGCCGGTCTTTGTCTGCTGTGATGTGCGTGAACCCTGCGTGGACTGCTCGCGTCGCTGTATCCCATTAATGTCGTGCTCGCTTATCTTTTCTTCATTAATCGCGTGTACCTGGCTATTATATTCTTGGTTTTCCTTGATGTTCCTTGCTTGCATACGCGACATTTCCGCCAATCTGCATATTTCGATTGCTTTTTCTAACCTCATGTCTGGTTCACGTAATAATCTTTCGGATAGGGCTATATCCCTTATGCCACATATCAACCTGCTACAGACAAGATCGTCACGTAAATCTTTAAATTCACACCCGACCGCCATCTTGTTTAATTCAAAAATGTATTGTTCTGCAGATTCTAACTCCCTTTGGTCCCTCTTGAAAAACTTATGGCGTTCCACTGCCAAATTTTTCTTTGGTATAAAAAAGTCATCAAACTTTTTTAATAACTCATCCACCGTATTCCACTGTTCATTAAATTGTGCCGCTACTTCTCGACATTCCTCGCCAACAATATGTAGCAAAATGTTAACTTGCGTTTTCTTGTTTTTGTTGGATAATTAATAATAATAATAATAATCTTTATTTATGCAAAAATTTGTTCACAACATATTATTACACTTACACAATTACATGAGTGCTTAAGTACTAAAACAAAATATCTCTGGCCCCCACACTAGGATTTCCTGTGTCGTGGGGTCCAGTCCCTTCCGTGAGTTTCAGATAGTATTAAAAAGTAAAAAAAAGTAATGCATTTATTGTGTATGTTGTACAGTTGCTAAGAGAAAAACTAAATATATATCATATAAAGATATAAGATAGTGTGTGTGTGTGTGTGTATGCGTATGTGAGTGTGTGTGTGTGTATGTGTGTGTGTATGTGAGTGTGTATGTGTGTGCATGTGTGTGTTTGTGTGTGTGTGTGTGTTAGGGTGTGGGTGTAAGATGGTGCGCGCGTAATATTAGATAACAATATTTAGCAGATTATCGATATCAGCATAGTCCATAGGTATTAACCATTTTTGGATGGTAGTTTTAAGGCGGAATGACGTCAGGTTTATTATAGTATTATTACTTTTGAAAAATTTGTTGTAAAGATAGGGTCCCATAAATTCACAAGCTTCATAGTAGATGTTGAATGCAGTCTTCCACTTTTGCCATTCTGTACTCAGATTCCCAGAAGTTATGTTGCACAAACTATTAGCAAATTGAAACGGCGGCGGTGGCTGAAGAACGGATTATTTTTTATTTTTATTTTTATTCAATAGCCGGCGCCTCATCGGGCCTCCTACCCACATATATTTATTATTGGTGTTGTGACCTAATTACATATACCTACACATTAGTCAATGTGTTACGGTATTCTTCCCAATGTCTACTGGTAACTGAGTCTAATTTAGTGGACATCATATGAATAATAAGAGTGTCCCAATGTTGAGTCGGCTGATTGAGTGAAGTAAGTGCCCTTATGTTTTTAATTGTGTTATCAAGAAGGTAACGAATCGCTCGGCTATACTCTTTACTTAAAGACTCCACATTAAACAAGTCCTGAACATGGTTGGTATGGTAACTAATAACCTAGGATTATTATACCTTTCGAGTAGTAGGTTCCATGCTGTTAAATAATTTTCATTAGAAAAGTCATGTAATGATGCACGTAGGTAGTGAAACTTGCTTATATTATTTATTCTATCATTGTTGTGGATCATTAATAAAAAGGTATCACGAAACTCGAGCCAGTGCATATAATAAAATAAATAAATAAAATGAGCCTTTATTACTGTTACTCTCTACAATATTTTCTTAAATGTTATACTATTTACATTAATATTATACTTGTTACACCGTTGTGGTCATTATAGTATATCGGTAATCGCTTTATGTGTAGCAGCTTGTCTCTCGACAAAGGCCTCCTCCAAGGACTTCCATGCGGTTCGATCCCTAGCTATTCGGGTCCACTTAGCGCCCGCCATTTGTCTGAAGTCGTCTTCCCAACGTTTACACTGTCTCCCTTTATTTCTTTTGTCTTTTGTCGCCCATAGGACACCACTCTGTTATTATTTTTGTCCACTTTTCTTTCGTATCCCGTAACATATGTCCTGCCCAACGCCATTTTAACCTTCTACTAACAATATGCGCATTTTTGAATTTCGTTTCTGTTTTAATTGTTTCCAATTTCACTCTGTCCCTTCTTCTTAATCCTATTACACTTCGTTCGATGCTGTTCTGGCACACTTTTATTTTATTTGATAGCTGATCTGTTAAAGCCCATGTTTGACATCCATAAGTTAAGCACGGGAGTATGCAAGTGTTATATACAGTTCTTTTAATTTTTATGGACATTTCCTCATTTTTCATTATTTCACTAAGGCTCCAAAATCTTTTCCATGTCTTTGTTATTCTTCTATCTATTTCTTCAGGCATGTTGTCAAGGGGTGATATCAATTGTCCTAAATATATGTATTCATTAACATACTCTATTTCTTTCTCGTTAACCATTATAGCATCTAAATCTGATTGCTGAGCGTTAGTCATTATTTTTGTTTTGCTTATATTCATTGACAGCCCCGCTGTAGAACTTTCCTCAGCCAACTGCTGCAGCATTCGTTCTAATCGCCGTGAATCTTCAGAAAATAGTATTAGGTCATCAGCAAAGCGCAAGTGGTTTAATTTTTGGCCATTGATGTTAAGACCTATATCTTCCCATTCAAGATTTCTGAAAATCATCTCTAGAACCGCCGTAAACAATTTTGGTGAAACCGGATCTCCTTGACGAACTCCTCTTTGGACTGGGAATGGTTCTCCTGTTGTTTCGAGCTTCACCTGGGCTGTGCTTCCTGAGTAAATAATGTTCAGGATTCTGATGTATTTCATTTGAACCCCTTGGCATTTCAGGGCTCTCCATATGTATTTATGTTCCAGGGAATCAAATGCCTTGTGAAAGTCCACAAACCCTATGTAATACGTTTACTTGTATTCTCGATATTTTTGCAGGACCTGTCTAGGAACATGGATATGCTCAATTGTAGAACAATTACTACGAAACCCTGCTTGCTCTTTTGGTTGGTTTTCATCCAATACATTTGCAATACGAGACAGAATTATCTTGGAAAACACTTTGTAGATATTGGACATTAAGCTTATCGGTCTATAGTTATTTATGTCCCCTTTGTCCCCCTTCTTGTGAAGTAATATTATAGTTGATTTCATCCAATCAGCAGGTATATTCTCAGTTCTTAAAATTTCATTAAACAGATTTGTTAGTATCGGAGCTATGATAGATGCTGTAGTTTTAAGTAGTTCATTAGTTATCTGATCCGACCCTGGAGCTTTATCCGTTTTTTGTGTGTTTATAGCCTTTATTGTTTCTTCCGTTAAAATGAAAGGCACCGGTGCTGGGTTAAGCCAAGTGTCAAGTTTCTCTTTGTCTTCCGGCTGCTTCTCCGTGTACAGTTCTCTATAAAATTCTGTGGCAATTCTTAGTATTTCTTGTCTCTTGCTAGTGTAATCCTTGTCCTTGTTCTTTAGATGTAGCATCCAGTCTTTTTTATAATTCAATTCCTTGAAAGCATTTTTAGTCCCTCCACTTCGTTCTATATGTTTTTTTAGTGTATTTTGCGTCCTAGTTTTATGATCTCTTCTAATGCTTTCATTAATTTCCTTGCTTAAGCTTGCTATTTTCTGTCTGTTCTTCTTACCCTCCTTTCCTTTCTTTATTAATTCTTTTCGTTGTTCTAGCAGTTGTTTGGATTTACTTGAGAGTAGTTTCTTTTTGGCTTCATTATTTATTTTGGTCGTTTCTGATTTCAATATGTTTAACAAGCTATCGTATTTGTCTTGTATTGATATGCATTGCTCAATGCTATTTACACGTGTTTTAAGACAACTTAATAGCTTGTCGTTATTCCCCAGGCAGATAAGACTGTTCACTTTGTTCTGTAACCTTCTATTTCTTTTAATACGTGTCCCTCTTATTGTCTGAAAGTTCTGTATTGTGGTTTGTAAATCCTTGTAAAATAATTCAATCTTTGCTATTCCTTGTTTATTTTTGGGTTCAGTTGGGGAGTATACCTGGATAATAGACCAATTTGTATCTTTTTCATGGTGTAAAGGTAATTTTATATTTAAGACCGCAATTCTTTCTGAAATACCCTTAATTTCCACTACATTCCTCATTAGTTCCTGTTCGATTAAGAAGCCCACTCCGTACAGTCCCGGTGTTTCACCTTTATAATGTAAGATATACTTCCCGTAGTCTTCTACTCCTTCTCCTAGGCGTCTCATTTCACTTATTCCTATTATGTCCCAATTTATAGTTTCTAGTGCTTCCTGTAGTTCAAAAAGCCTTTCGGGCGTTCTAAGAGATCGAGTGTTAAATGTAGATATATGAATATCTAGTTCTTTTGCTGAATTTTTATTTATTTTTATCCTTTGAGGGTCGTGGTCTTTTTCCCCCACGGTGACCAGCGTTGTTGGGTTGGGGGAGGACGTTTTTCTGTTATATCCTTATCTATTATTTCGTTTTGTTGTGTTGTTGTAGTTTGTATTGTTGCTTTAGTTTGTTTTATTTTCCGATTACCGATAATTAATTGTTATTGTTTATTTCCTGGGAGAGTTGACAGAGAATTGGATCTACCTCTCATCACATCAAATGCATTTATTCGGTTTGTTTTTGAGGCATTTAGATTCTGTTGTTTTCAAGGTTGCAAGTCGTTTTGTGGAGAAGTTGATGATTCTCGTTTCCTTTTTTCATTGCTCGGAATATTTTCTTTAATCACCAACTTATCATATTTTAAATAAGCAATATTTCCTTTACTTCTTTCTTCTTTTAATTTAGGCAGTAAGGCTTTTCTTCGTTCCAAAACTTCTTTTGAATAGTCTTCGGTGATATAAATTTCCTTCAGCTTCTTTTTGTTTGCTAATATTTCGGTTTTCTTCATATAACTAACAAAGGAAAAAAGGATCGGTCTCGGTTTATCATTCCTATTTGCTTTTCCGATACGATATAGATTGTTGACATCATATTCCTCAATGACTATTCGTGCGTCGTGTTGGAATACTTCCTTAACCTTCATTAATAACTCTGAGGTTGAATTCTCCACTTCTTTTAAACCAAAAATCACTATGTTCTTCTTTTCTCCCACTTTAAATGATCCATTTCTTCCTGCATGTTTTCTAACTTTGTTTTTAGCAATCTGTTTTCTTCTGTAATTGGTTTTAACTTTTCTTCCAGTCTACTCATGATGGTTTTAGTAATGGTTTCTGTTAATTCAATGGTTTGATTTTTTATTTCCATTTTCATGTTATCAAATAGCATTTGGAATTGTTCGTCCATCTTTGTTTTTGTGTGACAGAACGTATTAATCGATTCTTCTAATTAGTCGATTGTTTCTCCGCTGGTAACCCCGGTGAGTGACTGAATGACAGTTAATAAATGAATGATATGCGGCTGACAGTTGTTCTATTTGGCTGTGGTTTTAACTAACCTCCAAAAGTTCCTGGTATTAATGCCGTGTTGATTTGTTCAATTCCTCACTAATATGTTCACTTTGATATGTTTACACACTGCAGTGCACTATTCTTCTTGTTTCGGAGCCTATTATGTGGCGAAATGTAATCTCGAGCCAATTTTAATTGCAATTTGTTTACGACACAGTGACTTATAGTTGTTGACACTTTGAGCACCGGATACGTCATATTCTTGGTTTTCCTTGATGTTCCTTGCTTGCATACGCGACATTTCCGCCAATCTGCATATTTCGATTGCTTTTTCTAACATCATGTCTGGTTCACGTAATAATCTTTCGGATAGGGCTATATCCCTTATGCCACATATCAACCTGCTACAGACAAGATCGTCACGTAAATCTTTAAATTCACACTGGACCGCCATCTTGTTTAATTCAAAAACGTATTGTTCTGCAGATTCTAACTCCCTTTGGTCCCTCTTGAAAAACTTATGGCGTTCCACTGCCAAATTTTTCTTTGGTATAAAAAAGTCATCAAACTTTTTTAATAACTCATCCACCGTATTCCACTGTTCATTAAATTGTGCCGCTACTTCTCGACATTTCTCGCCAACAATATGTAGCAAAATGTTAACTTGCGTTTTCTTGTTTTTGTTGGATAATTCACAAGCTTCATAGTAGATGTTGAATGCAGTCTTCCACTTTTGCCATTCTGTACTCAGATTCCCAGAAGTTATGTTGCACAAACTATTAGCAAATTGAAACGGCGGCGGTGGCTGAAGAACGGATTATTTTTTATTTTTATTCAATAGCCGGCGCCTCATCGGGCCTCCTACCCACATATATTTATTATTGGTGTTGTGACCTAATTACATATACCTACACATTAGTCAATGTATTACGGTATTCTTCCCAATGTCTACTGGTTACTGAGTCTAATTTAGTGGACATCATATGAATAATAAGAGTGTCCCAATGTTGAGTCGGCTGATTGAGTGAATTAAGTGCCCTTATGTTTTTAATTGTGTTATTAAGAAGGGAACGAATTGCTCGGCTAGACTCTTTACTTAAAGACTCCACATTAAATAAGTCCTGAACATGGTTGTTAATTAATAACCTAGGATTATTATACCTTTCGAGTAGTAGGTTCCATGCTGTTAAATAATTTTCATTAGAAAAGTCAATATTTCTTATTATATTTGCAGCAGTTCCCTGTAATGATGCACGTAGGTAGTGAAACTTACTTATATTATTTATTTTATCATTGTTGTGGATCATTGATAAAAAGGTATCACGAAACTCGAGCCAGTGCATATAGCTACCATTAAATGTAGGTATGTTAATTTTGGGCAAGTTAAACTGGTTGTTAACGAATTGATCAAATGTACCTGACCTGTTTCCGGAGCCTGCTACAGAGGCTTCTTTCTAATTTTTGTCATTATGGTTAGCCAGACGGCCAGTACGGCGAGCTTGAGACACCAACTGGTAATACTGCCTTTCAAATAACTCGCGATCAGCGTATTGCTCGTCCGGTGGGTCGCACAACTCCTCGAGCTCCCTCTGTAATGCGTCGAATTCAGAATATAAACATTCTATCTTTGACAAGCGACATTCCATTTCGGTGATATGCACATCACAAATTTTTTCATAAGTGGAAGCTAGCTTTAAAAAACTTTCAAAATGTTTTGTTTTCATAGTACTTCTAGATTTTTTAAGTTTTCTCACTTTATCATCATTCAAGTCTTTGGGCATTATGATTTCATTTATTTATGTAGGAAGCCACACACAAGTACCACGAAATCAAAAGGTAAATGTAGGAATTATGGTTGTTACTTTCTTAAAAAAAAACTCGAGCGAAATGTCAAAGCGGAATGCGGATGCTTCCCACAAGTTTCACTACTTTGAAAAATATTATTAAAGCATATGCAATGTTATATGTAAACTTCGCAAACACAAAAAAAAACGTGCTCAAATTGAATTGCAATATAATGCGCAGTACAGCGTTGTAACAAAATGGCCGGCCGGGCGGACTTTGACCTTGAGCGACGCCGACGCCGCGGATGCAAAATACTATAATAATTGTAGCAAATATGTGTGAAAAAGCGTGCACTCGGTAAACGGAAAACCAAGAAATGGGTATAAAGGAATTAGAACGTCATGCTCACTCAAATTTAGGCTAGAACTTTATTTATTTTTTTTGTAAAAATTGGGTAAATAGGTTTAGGTAAGTAAGCAATGACTTGGAGCGAACTCACAGCGTGCCGTCCGTAGCTCAGGAATGCTGATGCTCTCGCCGCTGCCTTGGTTAAAGTCGTTGCAGACGGGTGACGCCACGCACTGGTCCTAGGTATTTGAATCGCCGATCAAACGACGCAATGGAATTCTTCGAACTTCGCAAAATCTTCGACTTGCTTAATGAATTCCGTGGCTCTTCTTGACCAACTGCTTGAGAGTCTTCAATAATAAGTGGACTGTATTTTATAAGTAATTTATTCGGTTCTAAAAACTCTGATAACATGGCCGCTCGGTCGGGCGACCCAAAAGGCAAGTGTAATGAATTTTGTCTAACAAAAACGTTCGTCGCGTCGGCTCGGCGCGGGAGACGGCTCGCCTCCCCGCACCCCGCAGCGCGAGGTCCCGTGCGTTCGGATCCACGCGCAAACATCATTCGTTCATAGTTTTTTAATAATATTTCAATGTATATACCTAATTAAGACGTGTCGAACTCGTGTCGTAATATATGTAAATTTGCAAAATAACCTTATTTTATCCACATGTCGGAACGGTTAATAGTACTGATTTGACAACGAGGCGCATGTGGTGAAACGTCATCGCTTCGGCAGAGTCTATATAAGTGTTCGCGCTGGCCGAGCGGGACTCAGGATTTGCCTGGACGTCGGAGGAAACATCTCCGCAGCGCCCGAAGACTTCCGAAGCCCCGCCGAGGATAGCCGAAGGCCTACGAAGATCGTTTACTCGCCACACGGAACCTGTCCTACGCTTCCCGGTCTTAAGCCGAGTGTTCGTGGCCGACGTTCGCCTCACATTGCAGTGGCAAACAAGCGCAGTGCTGATTTAATTGTGGGTCGACCACAGCCCAACCTTGAGCTTGTTCGCACCTGCAACGCCACCATAACCACTGCGACACCTCTGTAACCAAGGGCTGGCCGTGCGCTCCCCGAGCGCCAGCCATGCCGAAACCAACCACCACGCCCTCAGAGGGCAGTAACAACTCGCCTTCACCTGAGGCGTAAATGTCTCTCGCGCTCCGCGGGCTCGAGCGCCCCCCGCTTTCGCCCGCGTTGAGCGCGAGGTACCCCAACCGCAAAGAATCGCAACAACCGAAACATACAGCCGACCGGCCGCGCCCAAGGCTCCAACAGAGGACCCGACGCGCCGCCGTAGCACAATGCGGCCACCCCCCACCTCTCGACCGTTAACACGCACCGCTCTGCAGCCCTCCCCGGCTGCGTCGAGCGACGTGTTAACATCAACTACCCCCTACTGACACCATAGCTAGCAACAGTAGCAGCACCACTGCTACCGCTACCGCCGCCGCCACTACCGCCACCGCGACACCGCAGGGAGGAACCCGAACACACCGCACCGAGGAAGTACGCAGGCGCAGATACCCGCCCTTCATAGTTGAGCTTCTACCGAACTGGGCTCAACATATGAGGGAGCTGAAAAACAGACTCGGCAGGGCCGCGAACGCCCGCCCCTTCGGCAAGGGCCTCCGGTTTACGCCAAAGGACGAACAGGAGTTTCGGCTGATCCAGCGCTACTTGACGGCGCTGGAGAAGACAGAGGGAATCTCCTGGTTCACCTACACCCTGCCTGAGGAACGAAGCCTGAAGGTGGCCATAAGGGGCCTTCCCTTCAATACGACACCAGAGGAGGTGGAGGAGGAGCTGCGGGACTTGGGCTTCGACCCGGAGTACGTACGCAACATCCGGGGCCGTGGCGACCGCCCGGGGTGCATCCTCCTCGCTATACTGAAGAGGACCGCTACAACACCGGGGATATACGACATACACGAGATGTTGGGTATCCCCGGAGTGAAGATTGAAGCCTGGCGGGGTAAGAAGGGCCCCGCACAGTGTCATCGCTGCCAACAATTTCGGCACAGCAGCCACAATTGCCACCGGAAGATGGCATGCATGCGCTGCGGCGGTGACCATCCCGCATCAGGCTGCCCGCGTCCGCGGGAGGAGCCTGCCACATGCGCAAACTGCGGGGGAGAGCACCCCGCAAACAATACCAAATGCCCCGCCTTCCTAAGGGAGATAAGAAACAGGAAGGAGGGCACGGTCGCCATGACCGGCGAGCCGCGCCAAGGCCGGCGCCGGTAAACCCGCAGCCTAAAGGAGAGAAGGGACAAGGGGCGTCGCTCATGGCGGCAGCAAACGACCCCACCCGGCGAAACACAGAAGCCACCACCTCCAAAAGAGGGCGAAGGAGGAGGAGGGGCAGAAGAGGGACAGCCCAAATTGAGGATCCCAGACAGGAGAAGTTGACCGCGTAGCGGAGCGGCCACCTTCCTGCGCCCACAGGGGCTAAGGCAAAGGTGGCAACACACACACACCAAATAGGGCAGACAGCGGCCGAACATCCAGCCAGCGCCGCAACCGACAGCCGGAGGGGCGCGGCTGCCCCGCTACACAAAAAGGTGGATAAACTGGAAGCGGTAATAAAGGACGCCCTTCTCGTTCTGTACGAAATTATCACCGCCATCAGCGAAAGACAGAACGAGAACGCCATCAGGAGCATTGCTCTCAGAGGCATCGCAACGATCTCAAACAACATCAATGGATAATGCACCTCTGAGAGTAATGGACTGGAACGCCCGCGGCCTAGCCCGCAAGGTCGCACTCCTTCGCCCTCTACTGCAGGAACAGAACATTGACGTGGCGCTGATAAGCGAGACGCTCCTGGGACCTGCAGACCAAATTAGATTCCCGGGATACCTCGTCTATCGGAGGGACGAGAAATCCGAAAATAACGTCGCCTACAGAGGTTTGGCGGTACTAATCAACAGACGAGTCGTACACCAGCCTCTCCCACTGAGCGCTACCACCCCTACCTACACGCTGGGTGTTGAAATACACATGGACGGCGCGCATATGCGCCTTTACGCCGCCTATAGAGCACCACACGCCCGGGCGGACTTCAGCGACATATTAACATTGTTGCAGGAGGACCGCCCGGTCATCATCGCAGGAGACCTAAATGCGAAGCACCCAGCGTGGAATTCGAACGTGACAAACACGTTACGCGGTGATCGGTCCGGAGGTACCCACACACTACCCGGACCAATACACCCACACACCCGACGTGTTGGACATAATCGTCCACAACGGGGGATGCCGTCAGATCTCTCAACAAGTTCTTGACGACGAGCTGCTGTCTGACCATCAGCCAGTGCTTGTCGTCATAGCGTCGCAGCCAACGCGGATCGTCCCTCCCGCGCCACGTTACAGAATCGCAGACGCAGACTAAACCGGCTCGCGGAGAGAGTGAAGGCCGAAATGAGCGCCTACACCGCCGAGAGCTGGGAGAGACACATCGAGGACATCCGAGAGGACTGGACCTCGATCCACCGCCTTTGCCGCCGCTTCACCAACATCCCAGCTCCGGTGCGACCACTGCTACACGCAGACGGGGCACCCAGATACCAGGCAGGAGACCGCACGGAGATTTTCGCGGAACACCTTGAGCGCCAGTTCAGACCGAACCCAGATACTGAACCTGTGCACGCCACGCCGATAGCACCCGAAGACGACCCCATTTTCTTCTCCCCGGCCATAGTAAAGAACACCATACGCCGGACCAAGCCGCGAAAGGCCCCGGGCGCAGACGGCATCACAAATCAAGCGCTGCGCCACCTGCCGCACAAAACGGTAGCAGCACTGGCGCGCCTATACAGCGGCATTCTGCACACGGGCCACTTCCCTAGTTCGTGGAAGGAGGGACGCGTCATAATGCTCCTGAAGCCGGGGAAGAACGTGTTGAAGCCGGAAAGCTATCGGCCGATCACCCTCTTACCCACCACCTCGAAGGTGTTCGTCACCTCACCCCTCACATCGCACCCAGACCGGAACAATTTGGGTTTCGGTCTGAACACAGTACGACCCTACAGTTGTCGAGAGTACTGCACCGGATCACGGCGGCGCGAAACAAGCGCGAGCACGCCGTTGCAGTATTTCTCGACATGGAGAAGGCCTTCGACCGGGTCTGGCACGCCGGTCTCCTGATGAAACTAACCACGACGCCGACGCCCCGGCGTGTGGTAGAGGTGGTCTCCTCGTTCCTGACCAACCGGACTTTCCGAGTGGTGGTGGAAGGGGAGACATCAACCGTCCGCAACATAGCGGCCGGCGTCCCACAAGGAAGCTGTCTATCGCCTGTGTTGTACTCACGGTACACAGACACGGTACACAACCCCCTCGCCGAGGGAGCCGAGCTAGCGCTGTATGCTGACGACGCGGCGTACATCTCAACGAGCATGAACCTGCGCCACGCTGCGTCGAAACTGCAGCGCTCCCTAGACCTCCTGCCCACCTGGCTGTCAAAATGGCGTTTGACAGTGAACGTGGGTAAAACACAGGCGATTCCTATAACTAACACAGTTATATACCCACCACCGCTCCGACTCCACGGGCAAGACATCCCGTGGACGACGACTGTTAAATACCTGGGGATTACCATCGACCGCCTATTGTCCATGAAGCCACACGTCCGCAACACCGTCGCGCGTGTCAGGGCAACACGCGCCCTGTTGCGTCCAGTGTTTGATTCCCGCCTACCGATCCGAGCCAAGCTGGATGTGTACAAACTTTATGTACGCACCCAGCTCACTTACGCCAGTCCCTCTTGGTACGCCCTCACCAGCGAGATGGGCCGCCGACAGCTGCGCGCGCAACAATCCCTTGCGCTGCGCGCCGTCGTGCGGGCACCCCGCTATATGAGGAATGACGTCATTGAGAGGGACCTCAAGATGGAGAGCCTGGACGCACATATACGTCGACTCGCGGCCGCCATGTTCGAGCGTGCCGACACCTCGTCTTGGAGTCATATCCGGGACCTGGCGCCGTGGCACGCTCGGCCCGCAGATAGAAGGAGATTACCGCGCGACCTTGTTGCGGACTAGAGAAACCCCGGAAGGAAGGCGGTCCACCGACCCCCGGGTATCGACAGTCCCGACCCAGCCTCTGTTTCCTCTTTAGTTTGCCTGTGCCCCGCCGCAGGGGCAGACCTTGGTCTGCCCCTGCGGCGGGACGACATCGAACTCCTATAATCAAAACCACATATAATGCACCCGTCGTATTGTATGTTTACAGGACCTGTTGTTGCTGCGACCGCCCTCACCGGACTACGAGCACCTGCGCCTATTTGGCCCAAATAGGAACATCGTGCGCGGGCGGGGACGACCGCCGCCACAACAAAAACAACACGACAGGGTGCTCCGCAGACCGCGAAGCGGTGCGGATCGACCCAAACAACGTGAAACTTCCAAAAAAAAAAAAAAAACCCGGACGAGACACCAGAGGGGTAAGCCGCCGCCTCTGTCGCTGGTCGCCCGGAGCTGGGCCTCCCCAGGTACCGCCTGGGGTCTCACCTGGCTCGGGCTCGACCGCCGAGGAGGCGTGAAGATCGGCAACCCCCCCAAATAAACATCCAAAACTAAGGACATCCCACGACCTACCCCTGTTTAGGGGTAGCGATAGACACTGCTGGCGGGGGGCTAAAGCCCCGATCCAGCCACCACGCGTCCCCTACGGGACGATGTGAAGACTCGAGAGAGAGCGGGACTCACTCACCGATCGACCGCCGCGCGGACAACAAGTCTAAGAACTACCTTACGACTCGTTGTTTAACCTTTAAGTTACCTACTTGTTATTAAAGATTATTTGTTTGTACCTGACAAACACCCTTTGCCGACATCAGAAGTGGGATACGAGCAGACAAACGAAAACCGCAGTGAGGTTATGCCACGTTGTGAACAAAATGGCGGGAACGCAGACTACTGGAGGGTATTATTTGAAAAAAGGGAAGACAATGAAAACTCACCACGTTCAAGCCTCAAGACGCAACCCTCAGCAGCCAGTCACCACTACCAGCTCCCACACCTGCTACAAATGTGGAAAACAAGGACATATCTCCACCCGATGTCCTAAGGGAGGCAGCAGCACCGAGACGTCACACACCGGGCACAAATTCATCAATCATCAATAAATCAATGATAATTTCTGTGCTAACGCGTTATTCGGACTATTTTATTACTGGGATGCCGCGAACACGCGTAGCGACAGGTGAACTTGTTATTCGTTTAATGGATCCTTTTTTTTTTTTTTACGTGTGGAAATCCCCTCGGACCGTCACCCCGCCGGGGCTCTCGTTCGGCGGGGCGGTGTGTCGGACTCGAACCGACTAAAACCACACGGTGTGCCCTCTTTGCGCTTCCAGGTTAGGAGGGGTCCAGGTAGCTATC